AAAAATTCCATTTGAATAGTAGTAATAAATAAATAATGAACTTACATTATTTGAAGTGATTTTAATACAACATATTGTCCATCAAAATAATAAGTTCTTAATATATATATTTGTATCATTTTATTATATATTTAATTGATGACTATAATTATATTTTGTTGCGCGACCAGATATGCTTAAAGCCTATGGATGTGGATGTGCATGTTTGGTCGGTCAAAATATATATATTTTTTTAAATCTTTAGAAAAATAAATTCTTTAAAAAAATGATTTTCCTAATGAAAATAGAGAAAACAAGTTAGTAACTTCAAACAACGTCCCCAACCGCCATCTCTTGACTATTCTATCTCCCTCAACCTCGAACCGTCACTCCTCACCTGACACTCATAATATTTTGCTGGCTTACATATAAATGCTCTTGAAGTATTTATTTATTTTACTTATTTACCAAATACTAAAAATAAATAACTCATTTATTTATTTATTTTTTAAAAAATATTCTCTTACCAAACACCCCCCCGAAGTAAAGTCTTAAAGTCTGACGACCGTAAAGACAAATTAGCATAGATGCTGAATTATGAGAAGAGACGAATCCGATCCGTTACATTATTATCTTCCTTAAATATAAATACGGCACTACATAGAAGCACGTATTTATAGTGAGTGCATTGGAATTTTTATTTTTAATTTCTCACTTGGTGTTTCGAGTGCATTGCATTCAATCACTCCAATGGAAACCCCATTCTCTTTTGTCGATCTTCTTCCCATATTCACTTTAATTTCGTATTAAATGCTGGAAAATATAAGGGCAAAAACAAAATTAAATCAAATCCTCCATCCATATTCAATGAATGCAAATTCAACCTAAATAAAAAAGCCTTTCTCACTGAACCACTTCACAACACCATGGAATCCCAATATCCTCTATTCTCCACCATTGTTACTCTCTACACTATCATTTTCATATATTTTCCAACTATTGCTGCTTCTCCACTCATCATTTCAACCTCTGTTCTGTTACTTTCTCTGCTCAGACTCGGTGCAGCTCAGAGAATTTCACAGAAGAAGAACAAAAAACCCGAATCCGAGATCTTATCTTTACAAATTTCGGCTGATAGCACCAAGTGTGAGAATGATTCGGTGCTTGACCCGGATCCGGACCTGGACCCGATTGATTCCAATGTGGACTCCTCCAATTGTGAAAAGGATTCGGTGTTTGAACCGGATTCGGAACAGAGAATGTTTCATGCCGACGAATCCAGGGTGGACTCAAGTTGTGAAAAGGATTCGGTTCTAGAACCGGAATCGAGACTGTTTCATGGGGACTGCTTTGTGGAGTGGAATGTGAGGGCGCCATTGGAGGTGATATACGAAGCGTATGAAGGAGAAGAAGACGGGGAATATACAGAGGAGAAGAGAGACGAAGAGTTGAGGGTTATTGAGAAGTATGCTTCATTGTCGATGTACTATCCGGAAACGGATACGGACAGTTCGTCGGACGGGGATTCACCGGTCATCGGAAACTGGGATTCGCCGGAGAATGTGTGTTTTCAGTGGGATGACGAAGATAGAGAAGAGTTGATAGAGATTGAATTGGATTGCAAGAGAAATAGCGAAGTGGAGGAAGAGAATTTGATCGAGATTGATCTAAGCCCGGCGAATTTCCCGGTGAGATAACTCGCCGACGGGAATATAGTGTTGGGTTTTAGTTAACTATAATTAACTAATTATAACGATAGAAAAAAAAAAGGCTTTTTTTGGGGTTTTCCATTTTCCACTGTTTTTTACTTCTTTTCTGATTTTAGAAAAAAGCCTAAAAAGAGGTTAAGTGTGTTGTTTTGCGTAATTAAAGTGTGTATTAAGCCCTTAACCCAATGATTTATTGATGTGTTAAATGACCAAAAAGACCTTACGAGTTTTATTTTTTCTACAAATCAAATCTCTAATTAAACCCTTTATTCATTTGGAGAAGATTCGTATAAAGTTTTGTCATGTTTTCCCTCTCATACAGTTGGACTTTGCCGAAAGAAATGGCATGTGAATTTTCAAAAGTTGCAACTTTAAGAAAGTTCATGAGATTTTTGAATGAAAGGGATTTGACTAGAAAAAGGTTACTTTAATTCATTTCTTCGTTTTTGCTTTTCCATTTTTATGGTTAGGAATTGAGTTGAGTAAAGTAGTTTTCTAAAGGGTATATATATGAATTACTCTCTCCGTTCATTTTTATTTGTCTACTATATTAAAAATAGTCGTCTGACAATGTTTGTCCAGTTTAAAAAATCAATAGATAATTTATCCTTTTATTTCTATTTTATTCTTGCTATTAAATCTATTTAATATCTAATACATTTCTCAATGTATTAAATTTAACATATTCAAAGAATTATTTACTGTTTCTTAAGGTGTATGTCAAGTCAATAGTGGACAATTATTATTGGACAGAAGAAATATTAATCAACGGGGATATTTGCCAGTAAAATCTAAACAAAATATATCTCAAAATAATAGTAAAGTATTTGATGCAAAAGAGAAAGATATAGTATTAATATGAAAAATATTATCAGTTTTTTATAAGTAAGTCAAATCATCAGAACTTAACTCAGATCATTGTATGGTTATTTCTATTACTAATAATAATATCATATGCAATAGTATATTGCTACATTAAACACTCCTAGCTATCACTATCAAATGATGTCATTTCTGTCTAATTCTTACAATGATTGCTATTTAATTCTCAAGAAAATGTCCTTCTATGTTTACTTAACAATTTAATAAATAAAAAAAGGAAAATTGTATATAATAGCAAACTATTAATTCAAATTAAATGATATAACCATAGTTTGATTTAATTGTACCCCATAGCAAATTGTTACTATTTCGCCTCTCTCCCTGGTGAATCTCGCTCGCCACTCTCATTCTTGCTGGGTAGTCTCCCTTGCCCCTCTCTCTTTTATACAAACACAAATGTATAAAATGCATTTGTGTTTGTATAAAGCGAGAGAAAATTGTATATATACATATATTTTCGTTCCCCTCTCCCATGTCTCGCTTGCCTCTCTCACTTTATACAAACACAAAAATATACATTGTATTTGTGTTTGTATAAAGCGAGAGAAAATTGTATATACAAATACAAATGCGTATATTTTCGTCCTATACACTTATGATTATACAAATACGACTCCTGCCCAGTTTTCTTTTGTCTTTTTCTCTTTCTCGCTTTATACAAACACAAATTATATAATTGATTCTTTTCTATATGTATATCGAAACAGATTATACGATTGCTTTCTTTTGTATATGTATAGCGAAGTATACATATTAATAGCCATTAAAGTTTGCTATGAAGCGCAAATATGCAAACTATAGCTATAACATATAAATATGATTTTTATGTTTGCTATATGTGAAAGTTGCTCAATAAAAAATGCTAGAACTCGCAATAGGCTAAAGTACTAGAGTTATAAGTCGATAGGTCTCCGATCCATGAGCTACTTTTGTTCTCCAAGCCCAAGTTTCCTTATTCAGTTGGGCCGGGTTGACCTGTTTGCACAGTATATCCAATTTAGATCAACTTGGACAACTCTCACTCCTTCTATGAAGCTTAAAAAATGATAATAACGCTTGGAGTTTGGACTCATAGCTAAATATGTATAACGTATTAAAATATTTTTTGAAAAGTTGATGATAAAAAATATATTTGAGTTATTCTTTTTCGAGTTTTGTATTTTAATTATCAACTATTCAGTTAGTGGTCAAGTAGAAAAACAGAACAACAAATAGTTAAGGTGTGAAACCTGTAAAAATATAATATTTTCTATCGTATTTTTAATATATTTTTTAAATCTTATCATCTTAAATGCGTCATGACTTTTTAGAAAATGTAATATCTTTAATTAATGATAAAATGAAAATGGTAAATTTGCAGAGTCTTTAAATATATAAATTTACCAATCTTTTTGGAATGAATAAAAAAAAAGTGTGTGATACAAAATAAAATAGAAATAATATGGTACTGAACGAAGGAATAGCATTTTTGTCTTTTTTTTTTATCGAATAAAGTTGAAGAAGCAAATAGAAATGTTGAGGTACCCACTGCCCACTAGTTCACATTTTCTTTTTTTCTTTTGTTTTAATTTAATTTGGTCAAGTATTCTTTTGTAAATTATCATCCATCCTATGCCCTTCTTTGGAAATGTTTAAAATACTAATTTATCAAATCTAATACTCCATTTGTCCACTATTGACTTGACATACCCCTTGAGAAAAATAATAGATGTAATATTACTATTTTATCTTTTGACTTTTTAAATTTAATGTTTTAAAAAATGTGTTAAATGATAAATAGTAATAGTACTCTTTAATAGTAAGAGTAAAATAGACATAAAGTATAATTTTTTTCTTGATTTTCTAAATTAGATAAATATTATTGGACAATTATTTTTAATATACAACTATCGTTGGACAGAGGAAATATTGAATTAAGACAGGTTAGAAAAATCCAAACTCTCTTCTTTCTAGAACATGACTATAATCACTTCATCACCTAGATCTTAGGAACCCCAAATCTGATTTTGCCTTTTATTAAACTTTGAATCTAAAATTCTCCAAGCTGGCATCATGACTTGTGAATACATGAACCTAACTTTATTTAAATAATTAAAAAAGGAGCTTCACACACAAATAAGAAATTGATTAAAGTACTATTAGATCGAAGTGTGGTAGCCGTCAAATGAGACGAGAAGCCAACCTAACCAGTCGGTGATATTCGCATTCTTCACGGCTTGTCCTTTCCAAATCAAATCTCTAAAAAGCATGCCAATTAAACGCAACTTTCACGGCCTTGTGAGAGCCGCTCTCATGTGCTTTCCATGATTCAACGCTATTTTTTCTACCAATCGCGTTAGATGTTGCGTATTAAATAATCATATCAATCGTTATTTTTAAAAACGCAACATATAATTTAAGACGGAAGGAAAATAATTTTTTGTTAAAAATAATCGTGGGGGAAGGACGGAAGGTCCAAGTTGTAACGTGCTGACTTTTGACGGAGACAACAGAGCAAAAATGCGCTTAACCTTCCAAAATACATGTGTCTAATTCTTGGGCGACACGTTAAGCAAAGACCAGCGCTGCTCTAAGCTGGAAAGTATTAGAACTTTCATGACTCATTTTAACTCTTCACATTCCCATTTCTTAGGGGAAAAAAAGCCTTGACCACATTTCCACGTTCCCTTCTTCTCATTGATTCTTCTCCATCTTCATATTCTCTTTCAACAACTCACACCACGTTCGCAACAGCAAATCTCTCAGGTATATATTTTTTATAAGAATTCGTTGATTATTTTGATTTCTATTGCTCCTCAAGTGAATTTAAGGTGATATTTATGAAGTTTTGTAGTAGTAGTGGTAAAACTGTTTAAGTTTATGGAGAATTAATGGATTATTTTTTGTTTAATTTCTATTTATAGGTGAAGAGAAGGTTGCTAGGTGAGATCGCGTAAGTTGAACGCAAAATGCAGAGAGTAACGGTGATTGAAAGATTTTCTAAAACTTTCCGTGATAATCCTTCCTTTTCTAAGCTGCTCATTGTTTTCACTGTCAGGTATATCTTTTTCCTTGACTTTGGCTATGGTTACATATTTCAATTTGATGAATAACTAGTTTGTTTCATTTAGTTTTCTGATTTCTAGCTTTTGGGGAAAAAGAAAACAAAAAACGGCGTAGATGCTTGTTGTTGATGATATGAAAGATATGTTGAATTTATATGTGAAGGAATAAGGTGTTGGTTACTTATGACATGAAGTTGTAGTATGATCAAGTAGTTTCTAGATATAACTATTTTCAGATCTGCTAACTAAAATTGTAATTGTTCGAGGTGTTGATGAAATGTTTTATCTGCTAAGTACATTGGTATTCGATATACTCCTACGTATTAATCCTAATTTAATAGTTTTCTACTCTACTATTTAATCGTAGTCATATTACTGGGCATGGATTGCAGTGCAAGTACCTCTGCCTTTGCTCTGTTTCAGTTATTGCATTCCCTTGATTATCGAATTAGAAGTAAGCATAGTCGTGCAATCCTAATTCCTATGTATAAGTTTATTGTAACTTAATACTATGTGTTTAATTCAATAGTAAAAGCATTTTGAATCAGGATTGCTGGAAGATCAGATGATTGATACTTCATGATCAGGCTATAAAATGTTGTTGTCGTGTAGTTATTTTCGGTATGGGGAATGCTAAATGTTTTACTATAGAGATCTTCAATTCAAGATAGAGACTTGTAAATCAAGGATGAATATAGGATATAGAACGGGGAAGTGGCAATGAAATGCAGATAGCTGAGGACTGAGGCTGCCAAGGGTACATAAGATGAGATATATGCTAGGCTTAAGCTCCCTCCGTACTGTACTAAAATCAGTAAATATGGCATGTCTTTTTAGTACATCCATTTGGAATCCTTTTGTATAGAAGTGCTAAAAATTGCTCTATTTGATTATTCTCTACTTATAACGCCTTATATATGTGATATTCCTAAGCAAGTTTTCTTGTCATCTATGCTCGAGTAGAAGATATATCTTTGGGAGCAATATGATACTGCAGTTAGCACATGTAGAGTAGAATACTTTCATTGCTAGTGCTTCAGAGGCGTGTACTTTATTATCATTGTTATTTCTTTTTGAACTTGGTCTGCCTTCTTGTTTATTTCTAAAAATCACCAAGGGGCATTTGGTTTTCTCCATTCTACTACCTTCATAGATACTTTTCTACTGCAGCCCATTATGTTATTTGTGCAGTGAGTTTGCTCTATTCTGACCCCTTCATATAAATGATAGTGGTGGAGGTCTTGTGGCATACTCTGAGGCAGGAAAATCGAATGACAATTCAAATGCTGGAGAATTGGTTGAGGCCAACAACAGAAAAAAGAAAGTTGTTGTCCTTGGAACTGGTTGGGCTGGAACCAGTTTCTTGAAGAATCTGAAGGATCCTTCATATGATGTCCAAGTGATATCTCCAAGAAATTACTTTGCATTCACCCCTTTGCTTCCAAGTGTTACATGTGGCACAGTGGAAAGTCGCAGTGTTGTTGAACCAATTCGCAACATTATCAGAAAGGTTGGAAACAGTAATTCTAATTATAACATTTTGTTTGTGTTTCATTTTGATTCTTCAATACAAAGCCTATATAAGCACCTTCACATAATTGTTCCATTGGCTAAACCAACACTGAAGCACAATTTGTTCATTCAACTTTGCCGACATGCTACAAATATAATTAATCCATTCAACTTTTCTATCCATATTGTGATTATTAAGGCTAAGTTACTGAAATATCATGTTTCCTCTGATATTAAGTTTACATCCTCCTTGCAGAGATATGCAGAGGCCTATTACTGGGAAGCTGAATGTATCAAAATTGATCCAGAAAACAAGAAGGTATATTGTCGATCAAATCTAAGCACCAACGGGAATGGGAAGGAAGAGTTTGCTGTAGATTATGACTATCTTGTCATTGCCACTGGAGCCCGAGTAAATACATTCAACATTCCTGGTGTTGAAGAGAACACTTTCTTTTTGAAGGTAATCCCCTTTATACCATCTGCAAGTTTGTGATACCACAAGATTAGGAGTTCGACATAATTTATTTAAGATTAGCTTGGTGTCACATTTAGCACATGCAAAACATTGATCTTGACATTTACATTGGATGCTCTTTGTTCAGGAAGTAGAAGATGCTCAAAAGATCCGTAGAACTGTTATTGACTGTTTTGAGAAAGCAAGTCTGCCTACCCTCAGTGACGAGGAGAGAAAGAGGCTTCTTCACTTTGTTATTGTTGGTGGTGGACCAACTGGTGTGGAGTTTGCGGCGCAGCTTCATGACTTTGTCAATGAAGATATAGTTAGGCTGTACCCTAAGGTCAAAGATCTGGTGAAGATAACACTTCTTGAGGCAACAGATCATATTTTGAACATGTAAGACAGCACTTCTTTTAAGCAGTCACCTTAAGAATATTTCATATGCATGATCATACATCGTTACTTGAACAAACACCTACTGGAATTGGAAGTATATAGTAGTATATACTTTTCCTATTCCATAAAGAGAAGGTCTGGTGGAGTAATACCTCTTCGAGGCAATAAATCATGTTTGAACGTGCAAATTTAAGGATGTGTTAGAGAGTGATTCTTCATGTTTGGCTTTCCAATGATGCCTAGTGATGGATATTATCTTCCTACAGTTTCAGTTTCTGGCCCTTGATTGAGCTTATTGTAAATACAAAGAGTTTGAACCCAAAGGCTCGACATTAGGATGTGATACCTGGCATAGGACATTATGCTGTTGAAATACACACAAAGCAAAGAACACTTTGGCTACTAGCCCTTGTTTAACAGTGCTGGGTTTATTGAAAATAATTTTCAGAATGAGCAAAACAGAAAATCATTCAGTTCTGTTCCTTTTCTTCTCTTTTTTTTTTCTTTTATTTGGAGGGAGGTGAAGTAGATCAGGCTGCTTCACAGCGGTATACCTTCAAAGAATTGACAAGTAATGACATACTAAAGACTTTGGAAAGAGGTTGAAACAGAGTAGAGTCACCATTTTATTCCAAAATCTAGTAGTTTATGCAGATCATTTCAGTAGATGCCTTTTTGTTGTTCGGTAGTCAAAAAATTCACAAAAGAAGTTGGTAATTCATTAGCTCAGAAACATCCAAAAGTCTTAAGTTCTGCTATGTGATGGGTGATGCCTGAGCAAATTCAAATATTTCTAGTTATACTGCAACCGTTTAATTTGAAACATGCAGCTTCCATTATGAGCTCATTTTTCAATTTCACTTGTGTTCTGATATTAATCTATTTATCATTTATAGGTTTGACAAAAGAATTACTGCTTTTGCTGAAGAAAAATTCCACAGAGATGGTATTGATGTGAAAACAGGGTCAATGGTTGTGAAGGTAGGAGAAAAAGAAATTTCTACTAAGGATGTTAAGCGTGGAGAAATAACTTCTATGCCTTACGGAATGGCTGTCTGGTCTACTGGTATTGGAACTCGTCCAGTAATTATGGAGTTTATGAAGCACATTGGTCAGGTATTTTGTCTTGTTTAGTGGGAGCAAATTTAATACCTCTGTCAAGCTTTTGTTAGATTTTGTTGGTATTTATGTCAGTTATATGTAATACTATTTGCTAACAGGGAAACAGACGAGTGTTAGCAACTGATGAGTGGCTGCGTGTCGAGGGACAGGAGAACGTATATGCACTTGGTGACTGTGCAACAATCAACCAGCGCAAAGTCATGGTAATCTCACTCACTTCCTGATCACATTTCTTTCCTTATACATATTGGGTAGTCATTCTATCCAGCATTCCACTAGAATGTGCTATTTGTGTTCGTCTATTCTGTTAACCAGTTTTGAGTAGATAGTAACATTCAATTTCTTCTTTTTTTTCTTGATGGCAATACCGTTGAAGCTTAGCTAGGAAATATATACAGTCCACACTCCACACTTCACAGGAATAATTTTCACTTTACTTCATTTGATTTAGAAGTGGTATGGAGCAGACAGTGATTTTCAGGGTACTTGTTTGATATTACTAGTATTCTTTGGTTAATTAACATAGGGAACAGTCAGCTTCTGAGAAAGTAGAACTTGTTTGAACCTTGAATTGACATTAGATATTGAATTGTGCAAATACTGATCTTTGTTTCACAAAATTTCTCATTGTTCAGGAAGATATTGCTGCCATATTTCAAAAGGCAGACAAAGATAACTCTGGAACACTTACAGTCAAAGAATTTCAGGAAGTCCTTAATGACATATGTGAAAGATACCCGCAGGTGGAGCTTTACTTGAAAAATAAAAAAATGAGTAATCTTGTCGATCTCTTGAAAGAATCAAAAGGCAATGGTGTTAAAGAATCAATTGAGGTGGACATTGAAGAATTTAAATCTGCTCTGTCCCAAGTGGATACTGATATGAAGAATCTTCCAGCAACAGCTCAGGTATTATGCAGACAAGATTACCAGTGTAGCTTCTATTGTGTTCCTACTGGATGCACAATTAAATATCTTATGTCGTATGTGCATGAACTTTTTCAGGTTGCATCTCAGCAAGGTGTCTACTTAGCTAAATGCTTTAATCGTATGGAGGAATGTGAAAAAAATCCGGAAGGTCCTCTTCGGTTTAGAGGAGAAGGCCGCCATCGCTTTCACCCATTCAGGTATAAGTTGGATTTGTCTGATCATTTTGCACCATCTCTCTATGGGATCATGTTCCTCACACCAACACGAGTGAAGTGGGATAAAGTAATCACAATTTTGCTAATGGTCTCATGCAGTATATTAATTTTTGAAACCAGTATGAATCCTTAGAAAGCTTGTCTTGAGTATGCACACAATCATTAATGGGAGGGAAGTATAAACAGGATGAATGGGACTAAAGCTCTGGATTGTGATTTTGGCTGGAAAAAGTTTCTATATTTTTTAACAGCAGTTTAAATGCTTGTTCCAGGTACCGACATTTGGGACAGTTTGCACCTTTGGGAGGAGAGCAAACAGCAGCACAACTTCCAGGAGATTGGGTTTCAATTGGTCATAGCAGTCAGTGGCTCTGGTATTCTGTGTATGCTAGGTAATTATTCCAAGCTTCTGTCTTGTTGCTTCTCCATCAACCTTTCTTTGATCTTTTGGATAAATCTGATGACCGTGTTTTTGAATCTCCAGCAAACAAGTCAGTTGGCGTACAAGGGCATTGGTTGTCTCTGACTGGGTAAGACGGTTCATATTTGGAAGAGACTCAAGCCAGATTTAAGGTGTTACGCCCTCAACATTTCATAGGAGCTCCAGTGGATTTATCTTGAAATTCCATTTGGCTGTTACCAAATTTTTTTTGATGTGAATCCTAACGGATTTGTTTGTTTAATTCTTTTACCAAACTCCTTGGCATTGGTTGTTTGTGGGTTTCCTGCCATCACAATTTTGCAGCTACACGAAGTACTATACCATAGAGAACCCGAATTTCTATAGTTGCATCATAATAATGGTGAAATGAACAACATCTATAGGAGGGATGTTAAATTGTAATTTGAATTATTCCCATATATTGCTCAGGTGTTCTATTTTGAATAACGTTCGGCTAAGCCTTTTAATGACACAATGTTTACTTCAATGGAATACAAGTTTTGGTATTTTTTGGTTGAAGAATTTACTAAAACATTGCTGCTAAATGCATGTCTGAATGTGTTTTCTTGTTGCTTTAGGTGTATGAATATTGCATGAGCTTTTTTAGTAGCATGATTTCCATCAGCCGATGAAACTTGGTAAGTCTTTTTCTGACGGATCTTTCCATGTATGGTGTGTGTTGTTAGTGAAGTCACCCATCTGTGTAGCATTTACATTGATTATGTTTGTTTATGATCTTTGCTTCTTTGAACCCTAGAAGTCCAATGAAGCAAGTATTGACTTGCAATGACCAGAGTCGGTTATTATAGATAAGAAAGTATATAGACAAGAAAGCATTCATGAGTACTGAGAATTGCATAAAAGTATATATCATGCACCGGAAATCTGAGTGTCTCAAGTATTAATAGAGTAAAAGGTCATTTGTCCAACAACTAAAACAAACTAGTAAAGAAACAAAAGGTGCAGGAATCGAAGTTAGGAGTTATAACAGACTGGTAACAAAAAAAACATAGTTTTGTGACATCTTCTTCTTGGTGTCCATAGCATGCTATAGTAACCTCATGATTTCCTATTCCTGCACAACGACATTAAATCAGAAACACACACAAAAAAAAAATGCATGTATATTGTAAAGGTTCAAAGTGGGATTTCCTGCGACTGTGATAAGGCAGGATCAACCCCAGAGATGGCCTTGTGATCCATCTTTTCCACATAATCAGTCCAAAAAGTTGAACTTCCGGCCAGCTCCTCCGACTCCAGGAAATTATCAGGTTGCTCTTGAGCCAAATTATTCAAGTTCATCTCATCCATGAGCATTCTCCCCAAATATGAATCAGTCTTAAAATCTGCAGCATCGGCGATCTTCTTCCTCCCTTCATTATCTCCCTCCAACTCTTCTACTACTTGCATTTTCCTTTTTTTGCTTGGATTGCCCTTCTTCCTCCCTTCATTATCTCCCTCCAGCTCTTCTACTACTTGCATTTTCCTTTTTTTGCCTCGATTGCCCTTTCCGCTGTTTTCAACACCATCTTCTACCTCACCACCCTGTTCCTCTGCAACTTCAGTGCTGTCTAGCCCTCGTGTACATGCAAATAAAGAGTTGAACAAGATCATGCAAATTTTGGCTTTCTTAGAGGACATATTATTCCCAGCTTGATTTATGTCTTCCATCTCCTTCTCTAATACGTCTAGTTGCCGTTGCAGCATCATAATTTCTTCCCTCATTGTGACTTGCTCTACTCTGATTTCTTCAATCTCCTTCTCCATTGTAAATGCAACTGTTTCATCTATAGCTTGTCGTTCCGTTGACTGCTCATTCATCTGGGACTTACTAATCTTCCTCTTTATATTCCTCAACCACTGTCCTTTCCCTCTCTGAAAACAATCATGCCGAAACTCAAATTTATCCCAACTCACTTTCTTGAATCCCTATTTATTCAAAAATAAAATAAGTAGTATTAAATAACAATCTCAATAATAACTTGTAATGCTACATCAATAGATTTACTATACTCACATAGCTGTTAAGCTGGCAGACGAAGCTAGAGATATTGTTGTGTCGAAAGAAACGGGGAAGAACTTCAACAGCAAATTTATGATTATCATGGATAATGAAACTAGTCCCATTATTGCTCCACGAAATCAAGGACTTGAACTGAATATCAGCAAGCATTTCATAAATCTTCAATACAAAGGGAGATGCTCTTCTTTGAAAATTGCGACGATTCGATGAAGACGAAAACAACTCCCTGGGAGTAGTAGGAGTAGCAGTAGCAGCATTGCCATGAATTACTTCATTGCTTCTATTGTCACATTGATTATCATCGTCATCGTTATCATCCTCTAACATTGAAATATCTATGTGAACATCTTCTAGTCCTTCATAACTTTCTCCCAATGCTTCAACAATATCATCAATCTCTGTCATTTTGCCTTTGCCTTTTCCTCCTTCTGTTTCCATATTTGATATCTTTGATCGTTTGGCTCAGTTTTATGAAATTTTACTACTGGTAGTATTATTCTGTCTGTATAAGTAGTACCATCCTTATAGCATGCAAATTCCCCCTAACTTTTAATTTTGGGTTAATAGCACTTTTGGTCCTCTGCTATCGGTGAATTTAAATTTCAGTCCTTATTACATTCAATTACTTGAAATGTGTATTTTGGTTCATCTACTTGTGAATATTCACAAATTTCTAGAATCACGTGTATTATTAAGGTTGTATTTTTCCTTCAACTACTTCTAAAAGTAGTTCAAATACAATATATTTACTACTAAAGGAAGCAATAGTGTACGTTTAAACTGATTGAAGGTTAATTATGTTGAGTTATATATATTAGGAGGATCAAAATAAATTTAACAATTAATTCAGGGACCAAAAGTGTTTAAACTATTTATTATTGTAACAGAAGGACATACAACTGGACATAAGGAAACTAGGGTGTAGATTAATCCATGTTATTAGTTATCAAATAAGAATAGGTTAAATATTTTAGAAAAAGAATATATAATATATACTTTGGAGTATTTGTACTTACAATGATGAAATGGTACAACACATGAGAAAAACAAATGCAACATGCAGGACTTCCTGTTAAAGGAAGAAAATTAAAATGTGTTAACTTTTAAAAACAAATAAATTGATCTGCTAGCCATTTTGTACTTTGGCAACTTTGTCATTAGTTTTTAACTTCAAATTATTGTGTTGTATGCTATATCATTAAATATAAAATTTCAAAAAGTGACACAAAAGGTTCAAGATAAAAAATAAAAATAAAAAAGTGTAAAGAGAAACATGATAACTAACCATCACATTAATAATTAAAGACAAAATTTCATAATTAATATCAAAAGTCAAAATTATATTGCTATTAATTAGGGGTATTTACGGGTCGGTTTGGATTAGTTATTGGTCAAAATTAAAATCAAACCAACTTAATCGGTTTTAAAATTATCAAAACCAAACCAAATCAAATATAATATACATTTATCGATTTTAGTTCGGTTTGGTTCAGTTATTCAGTTATTAATCATATACAAAAATAAAAGAAACAATTCATTCAAAACATGAAAAAAGTAATAACAATTCATTCAAAACGAAAAATAGTTAGAATGACTACCATTAGAGAACTTTCGATAACTGAATTTACTATGAAAAAAGCTTCAAAAAATCACTTTTTTTCCCTAGATAGAAGAGATAGTGACTTTTTCAGTCCTAAAAGAATTATCATAAACACTCGTATGCATGAAACAAATAAGATAAATGTTCTCATCTTAGGCATTTTTGCTTTCACAAGTAAATTATAAATAAATTTTGATGAAAACATCTATGAGATCTTTAATTTTTTTATAAAATAATATATTATGTATGCATAATAATAAAATATATGTATATAATTTATCGGTTCGGTTATTTCTTCTATTTTTTCGAACAAAATCATAACCAAACCAAATACTATCGATTTTTTAAAATCTAAAACCAAATCAAACTCAAATTTAATCGCTTTATTTAATCAATTTGAATCGATTTTTATCCAAACTGTGAACACCCCTACTATTAATACACGAAAACACACTCTAAACAATAAGGTAAAAAAATAATAATCAAACTACATTAAATGAACATAATAAATAATGTAACACAATTACTTATGACTAATAAATACTCCAGAATATAAAGGATGCCTTGATTTTTTAAATATATTTTCTTCTTACCATATATATTAGGACTTTAATTGGTAATTCTTTTAATATCTCTTACTATATATTTTAGAACTCCTTAATTATTTATTCTCCTAAATTCTCTTAAGTCTTAGCATATATTTTAGGACTCCTCAATTATAAATTTTCCTAATAAGTAATAACTCTTGCCATATATTATACGACTTCATTAATAATGAATTCTTTTAATATATCTTACCATATATTTTAGGATTTTAATTATTAATTCTCCTAATATAACTTATCATATATTTTCCTCTTACCATATATTTTATGATTCTTTGATTTTTAAAATATACATTTTTTCTTACCATATGTTTTAGGATTACTTAATTATTAATTATCCTAATATGTTTTATCATAAATTTTATAACTTCTTAATTATTTATTCTTAATTATAATTCTCCTAAACTTCTTACCATATACTTTATGATTCCTTAATTATTAAATCTACTAATACCTCATACCATATATTTTTCTCTTACCATATATTTTAGGATTCATAAATTATTAATTCTCTTAATACTATCTCTTTTCATATATTTTAGGAGAAATTAATTTACTATATATTACTAGGAAGAAAAAAGAGACTCAAAGCTCAATTGAGCCAAACAAAAGAGAAGCACAAACTTTTAAATTCAACATATAATAATTACATAGAAAGCAACAAAATGACTCGTATAATAACAACTAAAAGGCCCAAAAGAGCCACAATAAATGAAAGTAAAGTTTTTGATGAAATCTTCATCATCGGAACAATTAAGAGAGTTTGCAATTAAATACACTTGAAGGATATATTAGTAGAAAAACTAATAGTTTGAATTGTTTGAATCTAACAAAACTTGGTAACCTAAATATTTTGAACTCCTTTGTAATAATCGATAGTTTTACCTCAAATAGTGAAGGTA